ATTATAATTCCATATATTAAATTTATGTATTGATGTATATCTTCTTGATTGCAGAGAGAATATTGCAATGAAGGAAGTATGTGCAGGACTTTGGGATTCATTTTTATTCTTCTAAGGAAGGAACTTTTGATATAGCCTTGAAGTTGTTTGTAGTGCTCACATTACTTATGGAAATAAACTAAGGCTGAGAGAAATGGGACAGAATCTGGAGCAGTCATTCTTGTTCAGTGCACAGAGCCTTGGTTTTTGAGAAACTTTTCAGTGGGAACCAGTATGGTGTTGGCATGAAAGTGTAGGCTGTGGACCCAGACACACCACAGTTTATATACAGTTCTGTCAATTATTTAAAGTATAATGTCAGACTGGTGGCAGAAACTCATTGGCTCTCATATGTAAGAGCAGGTAGAGAAAGCTCTTACTTCATAGACACAGGTGGAAAATGAACTTGGTGATGATAGATGTGAGACTAGAAGCCTTGAGCAGTAGTGCTGGGATGTGGGGACACCGTAGCTCTTTCTAGTCAAGACTGTGCCTTCTAAGCACCAGCTAACTGAGGGTGTGTATGAAAGGCTTCTGCTGAGTCCATCTTCACTGAACCTGTGTCAAAACAACACAAATAATCACTTCAAAAAATCATGCAAAATGTTTAAGTGTAAAGATGATTTCAAATCTTGTATGCTCAATGTTAGATAGACCCTAAGACAGCATCTTCAAATCCTTTCTTCCTCCATGCAAACACTAACACTGTCTTTTATCCTGTGTAAATCCTCAACTCTTTTGACATATTGTCTCAATTGATTCGACTTGAAATTATGTTTCCTGAAATTCTGCTCCTTGGGAAACTTTAACTTTGATTTATTTTCTTCTAAGCCTGTGATCTGTTAATTTTATTTTTCTTTTAAATAAATCTTCTTGTATCTGTATATGGATATGGGAACATGTGCTGCTTTTGTGAGTCTGGATGTCAGAAAATAAGCTTGGATGCTGGGCTTTGCTGATTATTTTCGAGCACCACAGACTAGCTGCCCATGAACAACTGGGCTTTTCCTGTCTCCTCACCAAATGAAGGCTGGAATCATAGATACTCACTACACCATTATAGTATGTTACTCACTTATTCTTTCTCTATCTGCTGACTACAAAGTGTTCTTTATGTCTTATGTCTTACTATATACCCCTTCCACTCCCCACAAACACATCAATATATTCCCCCTTCTAAGCACATCAGGAAATATGACTTGTTCCATTCAAATACCCCGCAAATATCATGCTAACTATGGAATTGTTTTCAAACTTAACATTTTTAAAAGCAAAATTATACACACAATTCTTTATGCAAAGGCATGTTTCTGGTAATTTAAGATTTAGAATTATAGCCTTTGGTCACAAAGAAAAGTGAGGTTTTAATTTCAGATAATGGTCAAACACATCCTGTATTTGAATACCCATTTCCTCCTTGCAGGATGTATTTGTATGCCTTTTGTTTTTTAGATGATCTGAATTTTGGTCATGTTTGTGTTTAAAGATGTGGATAACCACACTTAGACAGAGACATTCAATGATTTGCAAAAAGTTCACTGGCAAGTTTTAGCCACTTTAATGAGAAGATGGTCCCAGGTCTAGAAACCTCACAGGCTAAGGCAAACACTGCAAAAAAAAATGGTAATAAATTGTTTGGAATTAGAGAAAAACAATTCCATGATAGACCAGAAAAAATGGAGAAATAATAGTCCAAGATGGTGAACATGTTGCTGTAGAAGAAACAGACAATACGAAGAGCTGTGAATGAGTTTTTCTGAACAAAAGAATGCATTAGAGACTAAAGAATGACAGGACTTGGATGTGTGATGCTGTACAAGCTCATTCGAGCTTTGGCGTATACACAGCACAGAATGAAAGTCAAAGGTAGCTGAGCTATGGCAGTGGATAGGAATTTGTAGAGTAATGTCTGAATTTCCATATTAGATACAGGCTGGTATAGTACTCCCAAACAGATGATGAGGTAAATTAGAGTAAAGAGAGGGCTAGATAAATGTTAATATTTTTTTGCAATATTTAAATATTGTTGTTCAAAATAAAAGGTGAGAAAAACATACATGACGATAGGCTGGGCATAACAAATATACACATATATATATACACACATATACATATAAACACGCACATACACACACAAACACAAATATGCACACATATACACATACACACACAAACATACAAACACAAACACACACACACTCATACTCTCATACAGACACATATAGATACATACAGACATACACACAAACACACACAAATATATATACACACAATGCATACACAAACATACACAATTTGATATTTTCAGAAAGATCTTGTAGACAGCCAAAATGATGAAATGCAAACAAATGACAGAACTGAATATAATTAGCCTTAGGCACTATCAATTTGAACCAACAAACAAACTCCCCAGGAAGTCTGTGAGATACAAACAGGCCAGATTATCAAAAGTAACACATGTTTTTGTTTAAAAGTGAGAAGGAAACCAATCACAGGCATAGAATAACATGCATATGATGAATAGTTAGTCAAGCCATAGATTCAATCAAGAGAGCTGACAAAATACCATTACATGTTAAATGTTCAGAGAATACTGGAGGAAACTAAAGTTCTCTGCAGATCTTAGAAGGATTCCTATCATCACTATTTCATGCTTGAAACTTTTCTGATAGAATCTCCAAGTTCCCTTCCCAAGGATTAATCTATGAAAGAGTTATTCCAAATAAAAATATATTCTAAATGACTAATTCACTTCCCTTCACCTATAGTGGCAAAACATTATTAAATAAACAAATATCACCTACAGTGATTGTAAACATAATTGAAATCTTACCAAGTGCTTCTTTTTTAATCTCCCTATTTTATATTAGATTCTGTAAATACTTGTTTATTTAGTATGATTGTTATTTTTAATGTAACTGTTACATTCACATGCACAGGAAAACAGTCTTAATATTTGGAAAAAATAATACTTGATCTTTCATGTTCTCCAATTCTATTAGTTAAATGTTTTAGTAATAAAGATTTTGTCCTACACTTAAAGGATAAAACCTGACAAACACTGTATGTTAAATAATCATTAAAAATAATATAAATTAGTTAGGTGTGGTGGTGCACACCTTCAGTCATGGTCTTCTAGAAGCAGAGGCAGGTGGATATCTATGAGTTCAAGGCCAGTCTTGTCTACACACTGAGTTCCAGGATAGCTAGGGCTCCACAGAGTGTGTCTCAAATAAAATGGGAGGATGGAAGGAAGGAAAGAAGCAAGGAAGGAAGGAAGGGAAAACAATTATATAAATGAGGAGGGCTGGTGTGATTACTCAGCAGATAAAGCTTTCTGCTACTAAACTTGAAGTCTGAGTTTAATGTCTGGGTCGGTCCCACATAGTGAGATAGAATGAATTCTCTCCAGTCACCTGACCTCTACATGTCTGCTGTGACATGCATGCATTCATGTCCCCTGTGACACAATGAAATTTTAAAATGTACATGAATTTGAGTTTATACAAACAAGAATGGGTTATTGAGAGATAGGTTTCAGAGCAAAAGGAAGAAGGAAATTATGTTGGCAAATAAGAAATACTTCAAGAATTAAAGGACTCTGACACAGAACAATTAAAAAATCTCATTAAAATAATTTGCATCATATGTGGTCATTTAATTTGAGGCATACTATTTTCTTAAATTTTACAATGGGCTTTTCTAAATGAACAAATAAGATAGAGTACTTTCAATATTTTATTTAAAACTCTTTGTGAGGAAAACTATTAGGGACATCAATTATGATTTGTGGCAAATTTGTCACAACAATACCCCACTATCCTAATACCAACTTGTCTTAGTTAAGGTTTCTATTGCTGTGATGAAACACCATGACCAAAAGCAACCTGGGGAGGAAAGGGTTATTTTGCTCATAGTTCCATATATCAAAGCAGTGAGGGCAAGGACATGCAGGCAGGCAGGAACTGATACAGAGGCAATGGAGGGATATTGCTTACTGAATTGCCCTTCATAGCTTGCTCAGTGTGCTTTCTTATGGAATGCAGGGCCACAAGCTCAGGGATGCACCACCCACAACAGGGGAGGTCATCCTCTATCAACCATTACTAGGAAAAAGCTCGACAGGCGTTGCTGCTGCCTCACCTTATGGAAGCATTTTCTTATTTGAGGTTCCTTCCTCTCAGATGACTTTCACTTATGTCAAGTTGACATGAAGTTTTCCAGCACAATTAACCTCCAGGTTCCTAAATCAGGATTTTCTTCACATTATAAGAAAAACCACTGAAAAGAATACTAGTAATATATCGATAGCTCCAACAACACTGATTTGATAGAAACAAGATCAATATTCTGTCTTCCTGAATTCTAAACCTTGCTTAGAATGAAAATAAAAAAGAATCATCTGGACAATTTTTAATTTGTTTCATTCACTTGAACACTGAGATTTTAATACTATGCACAGTAACTTTTTAGGCAGGCCATAAAGGCATGTGTGATTTCTACCTGTGTCATATTGTTTTGATGATGCCATCATTATTTTTAAAACACTATAACATGTCCACTTTTCCTATTCTTTTCTAGGTAGTCATGTTTGTCAAAAAACATTGTAGTTTCCCAACCATAAACACACAACATATAAAAATAGAAAAGAATTTCAGTAGCGATTTTGTAGTCAAAACATCCCTTTATGTTTGTATGTAAACTATAAATACTGTAAATATGAGAGGAATCTTTTTGCAGAGAAAACACTATTTGTGAGTATATAAAATGTCAAAAGGAATATAATTCTACTCATTTTAATTTACAAATACTCTGGGATGGATAATTAGATCAGTCAGATGAAGCCCAGAATCAACAGAAACCTTAAAGCAATTTAGGGCTTTGTGCATCTTTAAAGAAAATCCAATGAACGTGCTTGGAAAAACAAAATCAATGAAGACATTCTCTTTTATTTGTCACAGAGTCAAAGTTTTCTCTCTGAAGCCATTTTTACTAAACATGCAACAAAAATTGAAGAAGTCGATCCATCTTTCAAGCTCCATGAAGTCATTACTAAGGTAAAAATGCCTCTGTGAACTTACAGGTGGAATGAGAAAATGTTCTCTTATGTTGTTGCTGTTTGTGTGTTTGTTTGTTTTAGGGAGGTAAAGAAAAGAGAATAATCCATCAAGAGAATGATTTTCTAAGGAGAATAGATAATAACAGAAACAAAATCATTCAAGATATAGCTTGAACTGAGGATTTATGAAAAAAAAATCCTCAATAAAACAATTAGTTTTTGCCCTTAATCTGAAATTGTTTGTCTTTTATTTTAAATACATGGCTACTTAAGATGATCATAAAATAAAATAAGTTGTCTAACTTTTCTGTCCAAAGTTTTGTTTTAATATGTTTACCTATTGAACTTTTAATTATTTAATTTGTGTGCATATGTATATGTGACATATGGGAATCTACATGCATCACTGTGTACTTGTGGAGGGTAAATAGTAGCTTTCAGTTGTTTCTTGCCATCTGCCATGCCATCCTGGGTATGAAGCCCAGGTTGTCAGGCTTGGCAACAGATGCCTCTGCCCACCAAGCCACCTTGCTGTCCTGTTTATTACACATTCTAGTTTCAGTAAAAGAAGGGCTTGCTCTATTAGTAAAGGATTGTATTTATAAGGCATGTTTCTTACTGTGTATTTTCAGTCATAATTTCATTATTTGAAGAAAACTAAGTTTTCCAGTGTGGAGAAAATAAATTTATGGCTCCTGATATTAAATGGCATCCTATGAATTTTTACATTTACAAATTATTTATCTAACCTGTCAAAGCCTGCCTCTTCAGGATAGACTTTGCAGGATATATTGATATTTCAGTGCCGTTAAAATAATCCATATTTATACATGCTTACTAGAATAATTTAATCATCCTTAAATCTTAGGAAAATGTGACAGACTGTTTTCCTCCTTAAAAAAGGGAGGTGTGGTAAAATGAACCAACCTCAGCATGTGGCCATAGAATAAACTCAGAATTCAGAGCCTGGGGGTTGATATCTGCCTCTGATATTTAAGAACTACAAAAATTTATTTGTGAACCTTTAAAAATCAGTGAAATTTGAATTACAATCTACATAAAATTCTTCTAAGCTCATAATATTTATCATGTGTTCCTTAACAATCAACTCCAATTACCTGAACTCGGTTTTAGTACTTTCATCTTCTTATTGTATATTATTATTTATATATAACTAGAGAAAAGTTGCCACCAAGTTCTTCCTCAGCATGTAAAATAGTAGCTTTATTTTTAACACTTAGGGATTATATATATTCTACAAAAGCATATATATGAATATACAAATGATGGTATGGAAATCTGAATGGATATTTAGATACATTTTCATCTGTACATATAAAGGTATGAACAATATTCACTTAAAAGTCTGGGTACTTAGTCTGCACTTGTTTGTTATTTTTAAGCAAAGAATTAGAGGATTATAAAATGATGGAATAATTTTTTCTGTATTTCTTGTGCTCTGCTGATTAGAGGAATCAAGGAAATTTGTGAAAGGGCAGCTTGAGACTGTATTTAAATCAGACATACAATAAGATAGTATAGCTGGTGAAATCTCCAGAAACAGAAAATGCTTGGCCTTATCTTAGAGCATGAATGCATGCTGATTCTCAATAGCTAAGAGTTTTGCTACACATAAGAACTAGAACTTCTGAGAGCATGGGAAGAGATGGGTGAGTAAACAAGGGGCCACAATCACAGCCTGAGTACTTCCATATGTTCAGAAGTCCATGGGATACTGAGGCAAGATCATTAGAAAATGACTTACATCCCTTCCTTTGTGTCCTACATGTGTTTTCAAATACATTTGATGATAAACATGCATTTCATTAGACCCTTAAGGAATATTGGAAAGAATTCATTGCCTGAAAATAATCCTAAGCAAAAAAAAGTGCAGAGGTTAGAGTTCTGTTAGTTTTCACAACTTTATATCCTTACCCAATGTAAATTATCATGCCCAAATCCCCAGAGTTCCTGTATTCACATTGCAAGCATCGAACAAGGGAAAAAAATATACTTCTTGAGTTCATTCTTAATAATCAATAACAGTAATGGGTAGTTGTGCAAGGAAACAATATTATTTGACTTAATTTTAACATCCAGTTTTTTGATCATCATCAACAACAACAAAAATACTTCATAAATGTAGATGAGTTAACCATAATACATAGCTTGGAAATACAGAGCAAACATTTTGTTCTATTATGCCAAGCCAATCTTAATATTTTATCATTGAATTTTGTTTTATTATTATCACAAAAAGTAATAGACTCATGCTATCCATACTCACTAGGAATCTAAGACCAAAAGGAATGATGTTAGCATTTTCTCAACAAATTTGATATATAAGTGATCAAGCATATCTTAACATTAAAACTTAAAGATCTAGTTTATTTTTTTTTTCTGTTTGGGACAACTTTAAAGTTTTTCTTTTGTCACAAACCAAGAATATACCTATACAAAAGCTAAAAATAGACCATCTTTAAAAACAAAAAGCATTGATTCACAAAAGACTATAAATAGAACATATAACTAGCTGACCCAAAATTAATAGGATTTGTTAAAATCAGTCATATCTAATAGCACATCTGAAGTATTCTCATATAAAATATCATCTGAAGAAAAGAATTTATCAATGTCTAAAAAAAGTGGGTTTGTTCATAGACAATCTGACAAGTTACCAGAAAAAGTGTTTCCTGAGACATAAGAAAATGCAACATTATTTTTCTTGAACCCTTCTTGTCCAAGACTTTACACTCATTAAAGTAGCTGGGGATCTGAAACTGAGAAAATATATTTGAGTACAGATTGTGAAACTTAATACTTTTTTTCCTTTTGTTCTTGTCCTTTTTTTGTTTTTGTTTTTGTTTGTTTTTGGTTTTGAATCATCGGAGGGTTTTATTGAACTCACAATCATCTTTGCCGGCTCAGATTTGAGAGTCACTTCTGTATAGGAGCTTTTATGTCTTCAACCCTGTGCATGTAGATGTCTACACAGGCAAACAATGTCCTCCCCATTTCATCTTCCTACCGGCAAAGGAACTAGTCTTGATAGGGATTTTCTCTTGTGTTTTTTTTTTTTTTAATTAATATTCAGAGCTCTTGATGCAACATTCTAGAGAAAGTTGCTCAGGACCTGCTGTGTCCAAGAGACTGATAAAGGAAAGCCCTATTTATTCCTTGTGATTTGATGCACAGATGAAAAACTTAACACACAATAACAGAAGTTGGTCGTTAGTAAATCACGTCCTAGTCTTCCCCACTTCCAGAAGCAGACACCCTCTTCAGTATTCTGGCTCTTGTAGCTTTAACACTGCAACATCAGTGATGTCCAGGGTCAGTTTTAAAGACCACCAAATTCCTTTTCTTAGTTCACCTGTTTGCTACTGTCTCTTGGTCCCACGTTTATCTGAATGATTACCTTCTACCATGCTCTGCTATTGCTCCCTGGGGTGCTGTCCACTGTCTCCGTGTTTTGTGGGCTGATTGGAGGAGGAAGCTTGAGAAGGGTGTGCCACTGTTGGGAGGTTGTGAGTCACCGGGATGCCTCCAGGGATGATTCCTTCCATAACAGCAGGAAGCCCTCCTGGAGCCACACCAAGGATGCCTAGTGGATGCCTGTATGTGTCACCATTGAGCTCGGGATGAATTGCTTGCTGGTCGATGACTGACCGAAGAGCTGAAGTAATGAAGAATGCTTTGTTGACACTGTTTCTCAAGCTTTTCGGCATGCGACTGTGATAGCTCAGTGGATCTCAGTGGCAGCTGTTTGCCTCATCACCAGTGATGCTTGTTCACTGTACCAGGCTGTGTGCGGCATGCAGATGTGATTTGGTGCATCTTTCAATGGGCCCCGAGCAAAGCTAAAGTGCTCAGACTGGTGCATGTTGAGGGCTGTTTCTCGAGTTCCTCCTTCTTTGAGGGCCCGAGCTAAGGCTTTCTCATCCACCAGACCACCTAGGGCAGCATTGTCAAGCAATGCTCCTTGCCTCATCTGCTTGATAGTGAAGTCGTTGATGAGGTGGTAGTTATGCTCATTCAGATTGCAGTGTAAAGAGACACGCTTGCTCTGATACAGCAAGTCCTGCAGGGTGCAGACCCTTTGCACACCCGGAGACTGAAGATTATTTACCTGTGTTTTCTGAATTGTAACTGTATGAAAGAGCCAAAGGAATAGCATCTCTCTATTGTCTTTTTGTGTATTTAGTAATCATTTATAGCTTATAGACATGAAAAAGTAAAGCTAAGCTAATTAAGCAAATGCTGTGTTCAATATATGGACATTGAGTATAAATTGTAATTTTTGATGAATGGCTGTTGTCAGAATATTGTATCAGTAAGTGGTTTGATCACTGTGTGTCATTGACTAAAATTCTACATAGGACTGTGACAGTGTAAAAATAACACACATCTGAATTAAGAAACAGAATATATACTATATTATTATTTACTAACTGTGAAAAAGGTGATACTTAAATACAAGAGATGATATATAAATTGCAAAGCATAACTTGTATTGGTTTTAAATATTATTGTTTAGCACAAATAGTCAATGATGAAACATTAGCCAACATTGAAGTATTTTCAAGACACTGAATGTAGCTGCAATTTTCCAGGTTCATGTCTTAAATTCTTCCAGTCAGAGCTGGTTTTCACACAATACTTGTGTGGTAATATCTATAAAGCAGCTGATTACCATCTCCCAGCAAGTACCTATTTGCATTTTAGACCTTTGCTACAGAACACAAATGTACTTTTATATCAACATAAATATTCTACATACTTAAAAGTTAACTATTTGTAGTTGGTACTTTTCTGCTTTTAACCACTCTTTTAAAATATCTCCATACATGTTATGTGAATTGAGTCTTTGAAAGCAAGTTTTCAATTTTGTCCTCTAAAACGTTTTTTTCTCTGTTTGAATGGTTTTTGGTATTTTTCTTTTTGATATAAAGCACAGGACCTAAGAAAGTAATGAATGAGACTCAGTATTGATGCCAAAAGGAGTAATCCATCATGGCTTCAGCTGTCAGGTGCACTGTGTGACGTTGCTGAAGGGTGGTACATGCTGCAATGGCTGGTGAGGAGCCTTTTCCTACTCTCTACTAAAGTCATCTTACAAATTGCATTTTAGTTATCATAAAATCCAAATTAATTCCTTCAAAACCTAAAACTTGAATAAATATAAGTATAAATCCTAGCTACTTCCCCCTTTAGTAAGCATATAACAATCATCATATATTTATATTTTAAATAAGCTTCTCTCTCTTCCTACACTTAGAAATATTTTTGTTCTGTTTCTAAATCTTCAATAATTATCTCACAAATTGTTGCCAACTACCTAGGCATTCCTGTTAGTTGACAATAGTTGGTCCATCTGGAAATCATTTTACTGTCACATAGCAAAGAAAAGAGGTAATGATATGGGTAAAGTGTGGTAGAAACAAAAGCAGAGGAGGAAAGACCCAGCTTGGAATGGTTTATGCATTGCACGTTCACAGTGCAAAGGGAAGAGGACAGAGCAAGGCATTTGCAGAGTCACTCACCAGGAAGGGAACATTCCAAGAATGGAAGGTAGTCAACCCTAGTATGCTGAGATTTTTTGAAGGTTATTTAAATTAGATGTTGGTGACAATGTGTGAAAAGCAATGATACATATTTGTAAGGAAAAATGCCAAATTTGAGAAACTACCTTTAAAATAAACATCAATAAGGCCAGCCTGTTCTACAAAGCGAGTTCTAGGATAGCCAGGGCTGTTACACAGAGAAACAGTCTTAAAAAAAGACTATCAAGCTTTAGGACATGAGACTAAATAGAGTCAAGATAGTGGGTATTCTACTAGTTCTGCCTTAGCAAAGTGATACTAGAGATCGATAATGAGTAAAATCCCCTTATAGATGCCACAAAATGGCCAGAAGAACAAATTCAGCTTCTGAGCTTACCCAGGAATATCATGTAATTGGTTTTTCATTTAATAAAACTATTTTTTAAAAAACCAGCATAGGCTTTTAATTGAAATAGAGTTATATCACCTTTTCCCTTTCTTTCCTCCCTCCAATTCTTCCCACCTCCACTGTGTTGATCTCAATTCAGAGTCTTTTTCTTTGATTACTATTGTTAAGTCTCTCTCTGTCTCTGTCTCTGTCTCTGTCTCTCTGTCTCTCTCTCTCTCTCTCTCTCTCTCTCTCTCTCTCTCTCTCT